AAATAAGTTTTATGCTTCTGTGAGTTTTGCATTTACAATTACGGTGTTGTTTTTAATTGATTACGGAAATGTTTAATGTTTAAAGATAAGGATGTAATATAAGAAAAAGTTTACCCGTAATTTAATTAACTCAATTACTATGATTGTAACTGCGCTTAATACCATATGCAATGATAACATTACCGGTACGTAACGGGCTGTTACACACATCTTGCTAAGGGATATATTTAGACTTGTGGTCTTGATAATTATGATGTTTTTTCTCCCGTGGCTAAAACTGCTTCAATTTGATTGTTTTTAACTATGGTAACGATTGGTCATTAGCTTTCATATCAGTTAGACATTAAAATGACTTTCTACATGGTTATCTTCAAGAAGGAATATACTAGTTTGTGCTCTTGGTAGTCAGGACTGGTTTGCAAATTACTACAATCACTTTGTGGGTTAAAATAGAATCCACAAGCTTGATTTGAAAAGTTAAGCACAGTTCATGAGGCCTATGGTATGACATAGAGTATAGCTAATTACCTAATCTTTTATGAATATGCTTCATCTAGCCAATGTGTTTATATGGTAATTTATGTGGATCTATAGTGATTAGAGGTAATGAGCATGAGAAAATATATCAAATGAAGGACCACCTATTTAATCACTTTCAAACTAAGGACTTGGATAAACTCAAATACGTCGTCGGTATAGAGGTAGCTCGGTCCAAAAGTGGTATTGCTATTTCACAATGGAAGTATGCTATGGATATATGGAGGAGTCCAATATGTTGAAATATAAACTTGTTAACAATCCTAACAATCCTATGGATCCAAATATCAAATTATTATTAGATCAAGTAGAGCCATATCTAGGTTGGCATTAGGATAGGCTTTTTTTTCTAGAAAAGCTGTTTTTTTTATTAAAAAAAAAGTCCTTTCAAGTAATTTTATGCATTTGGATAGCATTTTTTTAGAAAAACAAAAAGTTAAAAAAAAAAAAAGATTAAAATGATGTTTAGTTTTTTTAAGTCGGGATGTCTTGCTTCTAAAAAGAGCATAAGTCAAACATTAAATATTTTTTTTAAAATCCAATTTTACCCCAACCTCACTCCAACCACTCCCACCATATCCTTTTAGTAATTTTATATATAAAAAGTGCCTATTAATTTTAACATCCAAACAAATTTTTTATTTGAAAGTACTTTTTAGGTATTTCATCCAAACATAAAATAGCTTTAACTTTTAGAAAGTCTTTTTTTAAAAGCCCATCCAAACATGAAATAGACATAAAAAGTCTTTTTTTTTTTTTTTTTTAAAAAAATCCATCCAAACTGACCCTAGATCCCAACAATATTGAAGCCTAGTTGGGAAAGTAAACTACTATAACAACATGTTCTCAGAAGTTATGAGAAAAGAGAGGAAAATAGAAGAGAAAAGTAAGATAATAAAGAGGGAAGGTAGAAAGAAGAATCCAGAGAGAAATTGGAAAGAGAGAGAGTTGGTAATTTTCTTCTTGATATCTTTTTTCCACGACACCTTACTTATATATATAGTCTAGGTGGTTACAACAGAATACTAACAAACTAAAAATATAAAAGATGTAACAAATGAACATTAGATTAATAAATTGATATGCTTGGGCTATTATTTTTGGCTGGTGTGTTACATTCCACCACCCTTCAAAACAACCTCGTTCTCAAGGTTGACATATGACTATACCGGGATCAAATATGAAGATACATGACAGCCCAAATGTAGTTGCTTGCCATGGATAAACAACATTAGTAGCTACAATTCCAAGCATCAGAACCTCATCTCCAACCATTATAGATTTTATTTGGACATAGTAAAATGTATCAACAGGGTTCTCTTTCCCACCAACAAAAGAAGTAAAATTCAAATTGGGATGGCTGAGAAGCTCCTAGTATTGACCAAATATCAACTTGCTCCTAACACTTGAATCACTATTCCTATCCATAAGACAACAGGAAAAAGAATGATCATAAAGAGATTGAAGCTGAGAAGCAAATGACAATGGCCCTCTCCCTCCGCCAAACAATCCAGCAGCCCATGAAATAGACCTCTATTCCAAAGACCATAACCAAACATAACATTCTCAACAAGTCTCCACTCAGGCTTCCAAGTAGGTGTTGTAAGATTAACTGTGAAAGTTTCAACAGCAAAATCCCCAGTTGTATTGGAATTATCACCATACAATAGAAGTATGGATAACTTTGATTCTCACTCTTGCAAGGACAAGGAGGATCTGGGGATGAAACCAATTGACACCGAGGAGCATGAGAACTTATATTCTTGAAAGAACTATGTTAGAGAATAATATTAATCATTAAAAAGACTTTCATCCAACACCTTAAGGTTTTAGGTTGAAATGGTTCTTTATATGGTATCAGAGCTTCCTTGACCATAAAGTCACAAGTTCGATCCTCCCCCCCCCCCCCCGGGCCGCGCTTGTGGAATTAAATAAGCATAAGGTAAAACCAAAAAAGAAAAATTGGGCCTATGCAATATCCGCGTTTCAAGCCCAAAGGGCTCTTACTTGAGGGTGTATGTTAGATAATAATATAAATCATTAAAAAGACCCCCATCCAACACCTTAAGGTTTTGAGTTGAAAATGTTCTTTACAAACTAGATTCTTTAGGATCATAATATGGTCCATTTTGATCAAAACAAGCATCAAAAGGAACACGTTGAATCCAGTTAAGATCACTACCAGTAACAAGTATCAGAGAAAAATGTTTAGGTGTTAACAAACACATCCTTGAAGTACTCATCGAAGCCAAGACTGACACCTGACTTTAAGGTTTCCACAAGTTGACTTGAATAATAGCCGGCAAAATTTTCTGGTGGGGCAACCACTGGTTTATAGGGCTTCTTTGATTGCTCCTGCGCTTTCTTCAGCCTTGAAATGGTTTTTTGGTTCGTCTTTGTTATGATCCTTCCATGAAGGTTCTGAATTCTTGTCAAGTCCCTCACTATAAAATCAACCACAGATTTTTTTGGCTCAACATCTATGCTATCTAAATGGTGTTTCAAAGATTGCTTGTGTTGTTTTGCTACTAGAAGAGTTGCCCCTTCTTCACCATCAATGTCTTCACTTGAGGGCATGGTAGCTCTAGAATGCACAAATTTCTCTGACTTTGAGAAACCACACCCACTATTGGTTAAAGAAGAAACAACATTGAAGCTTGGAGTAGTGGTTATTCCCTCGAACACCTTGCACGCATAATGCAACAACTCAGAAGAAAAATCACTAACTAATGGTTGGACATGAACCTGGGCACCCAAATTAGGGTCGCGAATTGCACCACAAGCAGAAAACATAACATAGAAGGTAAATGACAGAGGAGCAAGGCTTGGTTTCCTCAAATATGCGTACAAACGCACAACGGTCTAGTTGGTGGAGAATGGTGGTGTAGCCATTGCACAAGTTGAATCTGGCAGCTTAGGCAAGGGTGGTTTAGCAATCGGTGTATAGGGGACCACAACTGAATTTGAGCTACTAGAGAAACCTCCAAACCCGGACGTTAGTGTGAAAGATGCTGAGACTCCTCCAAACAGATGAGGAGGGGTCCACGCACCGACGAAATTCGATGAAAATAAGTGTAGAGGTCGTAGTGGTAGATCAAACGAAACCAGAAACGGTGACCATGATTGGCGATTAACATCGAAAATCTCAATGCTTGGAGCAACAGCACCGTACACAGGGGTTAAAGGAACCTGCAAGAGATGAGGGTGGTTTGCGACATCTGAGATCTGGAAGTCAGAATCTAATTTCAATTCGAATTCTAATTCGGATTCCAATTCCAATTAGATTCTGATGCCATTTTTGTTTCAACAATTGTAGTCGTCTTGTCCAACAAGTGCCACTGCAGACGTTGTTGACTTTGTTGCTCGTGAAACTCACGAAGCTGGATAGTCATGCAATTCAACTTAGATGTGAAGTCAGCCATATGGCGAACAAGTGAAGCTAGGAGAATGGCTTTTATGTCGTTAACATCTAGGTTGATGGGAGCTTGGCTGGTTTGGATGTGAGGTTGGAGATCCAAAATCGTTTGTGGAAAGTGATGTTGAGCGTATGAAATATGCATAGAACGAGCACGGAGGGAGGGCGAATTCGGGAATGAAAGCACCATTGTAACAACACGTTCTCAGAAGTTATGGAAAGAGAGAGGAAAATAGAAGAGAAAGGTAAGATAATAGAGAGGGAAGGTAGAAAGAAGAATCCAGAGAGAAATTGGAAAGAGAGAGAGTTGGTAATTTTCTTCTTGATATCTTTTTTTCCACAACACCTTACTTATATATAGTCTAGGTGATTACAACAGAACACTAACAAACTAAAAATATAAAAGATGTAAAAAATGAACAGTAGATGAATAAACTGATATGCTTGGGCTATTATTTTTAGGCTGGTGTGTTACAACTACCATGCTGTTACTAGACCTGATAATTCTTTTCGAGTGATTGCTATTACTAGGCTGGTTTACCTATTGATCGATGATCTATATAATGCATCCCATCTCAAGATAGTCCCCATTTTACAATAAAATATCTTTTTGATTTGCTAGATGATATTTCTTATGCTTTAGAAATTCCATGTTTCTTCTACCAAAACCTAATATAATGTATCAGCCAACTTTCAAGATGGGACTCTACAAGATGTGTGGGCTGAGCCAACAAAATTTAAGCCCAACATGACCTGACCCGATTTGGCAAACTGGATGCAGGTTTTGAATCAGGATTATCCGACTAGTCTGTAAACAAGGTTTTTCTTTTGCTTTCCCACCAGCCCTTAGCTAATGGTGTTTTAGTATTGTTGATATCTTTTAACCATTCTTTCTTCTCCAAAAATCTCAAGTGCTAAACATTTTATTCTATTGTTTTTCACCTATACCATAGAAACTCTTAATGCATGAAATAACTGAAAATTAAATATGACAAAAAATAAAATAAAATAAAAAACTACTTCAATAGAAGATTATATATATTTTCACCTCCAACTTTTCACCTTCAACCTTTAGAAGATCAATAGATTTCCGCAACTCTTTCACTTCACCGCTGGCTCTGGAAATCAAAGACTGCATCCAAAAACAAATGCCAAAGCTCCAGGTAATTATTATGCATCTTCGCATGCACTTCAAACATATGTGAAAATAAACAAGACGGCGTAAACTTCAACAGCAGCTACATAATGAAAGAAAGACATGCAAAGACCAATTTAATATCCAAGCATAGATTTAGTAATTGCCTAGTGATGTCCAGTTTAGTACACATGTCTAGTGATTTAGCATTGTATGCTTTAACATTTTGTGTACAGACTAATGAGTAAGAACATCACACAATGACAGGTGCATTAATGTACAAGTTGAAATATGAAGTATTCTGAATATTATTACTTGATTATTCATGTACAAAGGTTTACAGAACATAGACTAATGTAAGGAGTTACTTTCCAAATAGGAAGTTGATTCTAGAGAAACAATCAAACCTATAATTTGTCACATATATTTCCAATAAATTGTCCTATCATAATGTTACAATCTAGTTGAAAGGTATGGGACTTGGAGTCCCATATCGAAAGCATAATACTATAGTGTGGGGTTTTATATGAATTTTGGACTCTCCTACCTTACAAGCTAGCTTTTGGGACGAGGTTTTCCCAAAGTCCGTATCAATTGTTATCAACATGGTCAAAATCGCGTTCCAAATCGAAGGATCATCAGATTTTGCAATCTTCTCATCCGTGATCAATCCAAAACAGTTGCTAGATCGAAGAAAGCGGGATCGCTTGGGATCATCGGGGAAGATCGCTGAAATGGTGGGATCAAGCATTAACGATGCGGAAAAAAGTCCACAAAAAATGGGTTATGTGAATGAAAAAGATAAAGTATTGAAAAAATTCACCCACATGTATAAGTCAAAAGCGAGAAAACATAGCAGAAACTTCAAATGATGCAGAAACTATGGGCCAGAGAAGATGAAGTGGCATTGAAGATGAAATGGCAGCATTGAAACTGTTTAGCAAAAGTGACTTAGGGCTATTTGATGTTCAGGGGCAGCAAATGGGCAAGCCTAATATTGAAGTGGGTTCTTCTATATCATTTTGGGCCATTGACTTTGAAACTGAAGATACAGAAAGAATTTATAAAACCTAGGCCGTGGACTTTGAAACTGAAGATACAAATAGAATCTATAAAACCTGGGCCTTATACAAACTTGAGAAGCTTTAGAAAGACATTAAACCAATTGAAAATATTAAAAAAAAAAATAGAGGAGAATTAACTTTAATTAAATTATTTTTTATAATTAAAATTAAGAAGGTAAGATCTTTACGATTCGTGTCGATGCCGTGATTTATGATCTGGTTTTATAAATTCTTTTTGTATCTTCAGTTTCAAAGTCAATGGCCCAAAATAATTTAGAAGAACCCACTTCAATATTAGGCCGTGGACTTTGAAACTGAAGATACAAATAGAATCTATAAAACCTGGGCCTTATACAAACTTGAGAAGCTTTAGAAAGACATTAAACCAATTGAAAATATTAAAAAAAATAGAGGAGAATTAACTTTAATTAAATTATTTTTTATAGTTAAAATTAAGAAGGTAAGATCTTTACGATTCGTGTCGATGCCGTGATTTATGATCTTGCCACCCCTTTTCGATCTTAGGTAAGATCTCAACTCTGACTACCTCGGGTATCAAAACCTTTCACCATGTCTTTCAATTGCAATTGAGTGGCGCGAATGGTTACACTGCCATTGCAGTGCACGCCCAGGGCTAGTAAAAAACTAGCGCAAAGCCAGGCTGCGAGGGTGCTGGGCTGCAGAGCGTTGTGGGATTTTAAGATCGAATTGCAAAATATGGGACTTGGAGTCTGATACAACACCTCTTATAACCTAAAAGTGTATCATAGGTAGAGTTTCAGGGAATTAAAATCCCTTAACTTCCCTTATGTTGAGTCAGTTGCTGACTCATTAGTGATAGAGGGGAAGTTTGTTATAGAAAAACGGTTAGAGCAACAGATTGAAACGAGGAAAGCAAGGAAAAGGAGAGGCATCTTAGGAATTTGGGACTTAGGCTTCTAGGAGAGATCAGAAGCTCTCTAACTCTTTTGACTCTATCTTCATCTTGTTCATTATTTTTGTTGTTAATTCAGTACTTTGTAATCTTTCATACCCATTTTAACTCTCTGGATTGTTTCCAAGTCGCTTTTCATTTAAATAAGATTTCCAATTGCTTTTTGTTTCCTTTAATATTGGAGTATTAGATTTGGTTTGTAACAATGTCCCACATTGGAAACATAACGTTCTGGCGTGGTGTTTATATGGACTTTAGGTTCTCCAAGATTACAAGCTAGCTTTAGGGTGAGGTTCTTCCAAGGTTCTTATAACGTAATTTATCTGATAAAGAGAGAAATAAACCTACAATAATTACACAATTATACCACTTATATTTCCAACACTTTCCCCTCAAACTGGTAAGTGGATATCTAACATTGCAACCTGTTCATGTGGGCTTGAATATTCTCGGTGGAAAATCTGTTAGTGTCACCATATAAGCTAATGGAACTCTTAAAGAGATATATAAAGTAGTATGGAAATGGCATATTTAATATCACAAAATAACTTTATAGGTCTGACAGAACTAGATCAATTAATGGAAAAATAAAGAAGACTCGAGGAAGTTTGGCCCAGATTGGAATCTGGATTTTCTATATATTGAAGGAAGACTACTACAGTATGGTAAACTACACAACATTAGAGAGGTGTTGAGCTCTCCCAATCCCAAGTCCAAATCCATTCCTGCCTCTACACACCTTTTTCTCCCTCATATCCCTTAACTAACTTCCTCAGCTAGCCTATTGTCTCTCTCTACTAACTGAATTGCCCTCCACATTCCTTCCTAGAATATTCCCTCCAATGCTATTCTTTGGCTGAGTCAGCAGTAACATTTATTCCTCTCAGGTGCATTCCAGAATAAACATTCATAGGCTTTCTATTAATGTCTTTTATATTTCACTTTTAGGTCATCTAGTATGACTTACACACAAACCAATTCACATACCCCTTGAACCATAGATTGAAATTATCCCTCTACACTTCATTGACCTACCACATTTAGTTTATTACTCCACCATGTTACCAAATTCCAAGAAGGAATATACAATAATCAGAGGATGATCTTTGGTGAGTAAGGGATCATGCACTATTAGCGTGGATATAAACATAAGGACAAGTTTCCACCTTTTTGGAATAACAATCCTCACCTTTTTGTCCACAACATGCTAGTATCTCTCCCTCAAGTCGTACATGAACTAACTAACAACACTAACTACATATGCTAAATCTAGTCTGATATGAGCTAAATATATCAATCTCCAGCTAACCTCCGATACATTCCTTTATCAACCTTGGGACTTTCTTCTTCATTTCCCATTTTGTGATTTTGCTCAATAGACACATCAGTAGCCACGCATCCAAGTTTTCTATTTTCCTTGAGGAGATCAATGACATACTTTGAGAGATAAAAGTATCTCGTTTGGAGTAGGATACATCTATGTCAAGGATACTAGAGAATTCATTGTTATTTTTTTGTAATACTTGAATATAAAATAATAGAAGAATAATATGTTGTGTATTGATCTGTGTCAAGGAGTTACAATATATAGAGACCCTAATGGGCTTAAGTGTAAGGCCCAAACCTAATCCAAACCTAATCCTAATACAGTCAGAATACAGTCAGACTATTTACGGATAAGACAGAATCCAATCATATCTAATCAAATCTAATCATATCATATCTAATATTCTAACACTCCCCCTCAAGCTGGTGCGTATATATTATGAGCACCAAGCTTGTTACAAATGTATTCAACCCGAGGACCTCTAAGAGCTTTGGTGAAAACATCTGCTAGTTGATTAGATGAGTTGACAAAAGCTGTCTTGATTTCTCCTGACTGAATCTTTTCCCGAATGAAGTGACAATCAATCTCTATATGTTTGGTCCTCTCATGAAAAACAGGATTAGAGGATATATGTAGTGCAGCTTGATTATCACAGATGAGTGTCATGGGTTGTTTCTGTTCACAAAGATGAAGCTCCTGAATCAACTGTTTTAACCAGATCAACTCACAGGTAGTATTTGCCATTGCACGATACTCAGCTTCTGCACTAGAACGGGAAACAACAGGTTGTTTCTTGCTTTTCCATGAGATTAAGTTTCCTCCAAAGAAGACACAATAACCAGAAGTAGAGCGTCTGTCCGAGGGTGATCCTGCCCAATCGGCATCTGAGTAACCACAAATTTCTGTATTTCCCTGATCCGAATACAACAAACCTTTTCCTGGTGCTCCTTTGATGTATCGGAGGATCCTCACAGCAGCATCCCAATGTGAATCACAAGGGGAATCAAGGAACTGACTGGCCGTACTGACAGCGAAAGAAATATCTGGCCTAGTCACAGTAAGATAATTGAGCTTCCCAATTAGCCTCCGATAACGTCCAGGATCAGATAACGGCTCCCCCTGTCCGGGTAATAACTTGACATTAGGATCCATAGGTGTATCAACTGGTTTACTCCCCAACATACCAGTTTCTTCTAGGATATCCAAGGCATATTTCCTTTGACAGATAGAAATGCCCTGTCTTGATTGCGCCACCTCAATTCCCAAGAAGTAACGCAGCTTCCCAAGGTCCTTTGTTTGAAATGTACTAAACAAATGCTGTTTTAACTGACGAATTCCGTCTTGATCACTTCCGGTGAGAATGATGTCGTCAACATAGACTAACAAATAGATACACTTATCAGGAGATGTAATCCTATAAAACACAGAATGGTCAACTTTACTGCGGATTAAGCCAAACGCCTGAACAGCAGAACTGAAACGACTGAACCATGCTCGAGGAGACTGCTTGAGACCATATAAGGATTTCCGAAGACGACACACCTTTCCAGACTCCCCCTGAGCAACAAAACCAGGTGGTTGCTCCATGTAAACTTCTTCTTGTAAATCACCATGAAGAAAGGCATTTTTGATGTCAAGTTGAAGGAGTGGCCAGTGACGAACAGCAGCAAGG